CTGATGAATGAAGGATCTAAACCCTGAAAGATGGGCTGAAGCTGTACTTTCTCCTCAGCCCCAAAGATAAATTATCAGCTTTTTTTTTTTTTTTTTTTTTTTGGTCTTTTTGAGACAGAATCTTACTATGCAGTTCAGCCTGTCCTTGAGCTCACTTTGTAGCCCAGACTGGTCTTGAATTTGCAACAATCCTCTGCCTAAGCTTGAGTGCTGGGATTACAGGTGTGTGCTACCATGCCCAATTTACTTTTGGGGAAGGAGGGGCACCAGGGATTAAATTGAGGACCTTATGGTTGCCAGACAGGCACTTATACTGCTGTGCTATATCCCTGGCCCCACCAGCTTTTTTTGTTTTGTTTTCTGAGACAGGGTCTCACTGTAGATCAGGATGGCCTTGAGGTCATGGCAATCTGCTTGACTCAGCCTTACCAATACTGGGATTATGGGTATGCACCACCATGATCAGATTACCAGCTTTAAGGGATAGGGTTGAAGGGTAGTTCTTACATTCAGCAAGGTCCTTAGAACAATGGAGATGGGCTGGAAGTGTAGTTTGCTGGTAAACTGCTGCTGGGCATGGTGGTGACACACACCTGTAATCCCAGGATTTGGGAGGCTGAGGCAGAGGGATCATTGGGAGTTCTAGGCCAGCTCAGGCTACAGAGTGAGCTCAAGGCCAGCTTAAAATGCATAGCCAGGGGCTGGTGAGATGGCTCAGTGGTCTAATGCACCTACTTAGAACAAGCTTAGCAGAACACAGGGACCACGGTTCAATCCCCCAGCACCACATGCCAACCAGCCCTGCCCCCTGGTGGGCTGAGCTGGACACACACACACACACACACACACACACACAAATAATTTTTTTTAAAAAAATGCATAGCCAGACCTTATCTCAAAAAGACAAACAAAAACCACAATAGCAACACACGCACACACACAGAGACCTAATAGGGAGAGAAACTGTGACACTTCTTCCATAAAGTCCAGCAGGGGAAGAGTTAAAAGGCAGTGCCTTCTAGAACCCTAGAAAACTGCCCCACCCAAGGGAGGGGTTATTAGGTTAAAAAGGCAAGCAGCTGGAGGGGAGAACAAGGCCCCCTTACACCTAGGGGCCTCCTTACTGCAGTTCCAGCTCCAGGTAAGCATTGCTTTCTGGGTCAGTCTGTCTGCTTTTGGGCTGATCAGAGGAAACCTCTGCTTCTTTATGGTGCCTCTGGCTTATTTAAATATAGCACTGGGTCTCCAAGAAATCAATAGACACTAGCTCCACTGGGGCTTTTGGGGGGCCAATTCTCTTCATTAAATCACTTGGGCTAAGCCTGACCACAGAATTAAGATATTGGGCTGGGAGGGGTGGAGGGCGCCATGTCCTGACCTGGCCTGCCTTGTGCCCATCCTCTGGCTTCCTGATTCCTGACCTCCTGCAGGGCTCTGGCTTGGATATCATCATATACTGTAAGTTTGTGATGAGACACTACAGTATAGATGATGTACTAGCCCGGGCACCACCAACTCTGGACCCTGAGGGGTGGGTGAAGGGGATGCTGCTGGCCCTGAGGGCTGAATGCTCAGCCTATCACAACTTGCCAACTGTTGGGGCACTTGGGGATGGCGAGGAAACCGTTACCATTACTGAGTTTAGTAATGGTGACGGTTCTCTTGCTGCTCCCAGAAACTGCCAGGAAGAGAACTCAGGAAGAGACTCCTGGAAGGAAGACTCTAGGTCTACACCGGGATGAGGGAGAGGAAATAGCTATGGTTTTTCCTTTTTTTTTTTTTTTGGTCTTTTTGAGACAAGAGCCTCACTATGCAACTCAGGCTGGCCTTGAGCTCACTTTGGAGCCCAGGGTGGTCCTCCTATGATCCTCCTGCCTCAGTCTCCAGAGTACCACCACATCCAGTGGTTTTTCCTGTTCTGAATAAATAAAAAGATGAGAACTAGACCAGTTGTCTTTTAACTTTATTAACATCCAAGACTTATAAGGGTGGGAGGGGTCAAGGGCTTGGGGGAAGAGGTGGGTGGTACCAATGCACTTGGGGAGATCCTACAGGGTTTTAAAGTTAAAAAAAAAAAGCTCCCTGCTAACAACTGACAAATTTGACAAATTAAGGCAAGACCCTGGGCCCAGTGCCAGCTGAGGGAAGAGGGGTCACCTTCTGAGATCTACATAGCTGTGGCCTCAGACAGAGGAACTGCCTGGGAATTGAACTAAGTAGGTTCCTTCCTCCAACAAGAGATAAGGCTGGACAGGGACTATACAGACTCAGCAAGGCCGGCCGGCCAGCAGCCAGTTAGTGTCCATTTCTTTTACCAGTCCCTGAAGGCCCACTAGGCAGGGAAAGTTTTGGTGACTTCTGCCAGCAGCACGTTCAAGGAGGGGAAGCAGAGTGTGGTCACTTGAGGAGCTTCACAGCCAGGTGGATGTGAACATCACAGAGGAAGATGTCCATGAGATCGTGACTCACCTCCTTTGCGATCTGGGAGATCAACTGGCCCTTCTGACCAATCAGGATCCTCTGAGTATGAAAGAGAGGAATATGATGCTACTCTCAGGAAAGAATGGCTAACACAGACTTTGTCTCTCCTCCAAGCCTACTCTCACTTACCAAATAAGATTCTTTGGGCACCAGAAGGTTCTGTTGGATTACCAGCTCTCCACTGGGTCCTTCTTCCCACACTACTGTCTTCTGTGTGGAGAGACATCATGACTAGTCAGGCAGGCCCATTCTCTGCCTCCTGCTACCCAACTATACTGTTCAGGGTATATGCCTTGTACCCCTTTACTCTCCTCGCACCTGTTGCACATTATAGGGCACCTCCTGAGGTAAGTACTCCAATAGCTTTTCTCGGATTTTGTTGGTGCAGATCTCTTCAGGTGTCTGGCTAGTGAGAACTTCACTGTGGAACTCCCAGGGCCCCGGCTGGGCTTGTGCCAGGAGGTATTGCTGTGTACAAAGGGATAAATACACACCTCAATCCTAGTGAGGACTCTCCTACTCATTCTTGCCTCTAGGAGGAAGGCTGAAGTCTATCAAATTTTTTTTTTATTTTTTTAATTGAGAAATAAATATGAATAAGACAGTTTCAAAGCTGACTAATAGGACATTTTTGATTATCAATACATTGTACATTGTTATCTTCTTAGTGGTTATCCATAGTACAAGAAGCAGACAGGATTTCCTGTTCAAACACTTTTAGTACACCTCTTCTCATTGAATTAAGTGAAAGTAGCTGTATATTTATCCTATTTTGTATATAGAAATACAAAATGATCTTTCCTTTGTATCCTTTTTTTTTTTTTTTTTGTCCTGTCAGAGGTGGATGTTCTATTGGCATCTAAATACTATAGAACTGAATTCAGCTAAGCAATCTAACACTTTCTATAATATTAGTGCGTTATCCTCAGAAGTTATTGACTTGAGCCTTTTACAGCTCATCGTATTAATATGGCTTTACTTTATATACCTCGTTTTTATACTTTTCTGCTAGATGGTTAAGATCAAAATAAAGCAAAACTTATGTAACAAGAAATGTAACTTTTGTATCTGATAAGGTCAGTCAAGTACCCTCAGGATTTATCCTGTAGCCCTGTACCACACTTT